CATACTTTTAAAATACTTCTTTTTTTATTTTTCCTCTTTATTACAATTAGAGCATTGTATTGATTTTTAAAATTATGTGTATGGTAGATTATACCATCTATAAATTTCATAAGTATAGAGAGATTGTTACAGATACTAGTTGTAAAAAATAAAGCATTGAGACAGATGACTTAGGAGCTACTCACTTAAATTATGTACTTGCCATTTATGTTGTTTCTAAATTTTCTGTTTTTCTATTAGATGGTTGGCCTGTTAGGAGTAATTTAATTACGCTTGCTCGATGTCTGGGATTGGCTTAGTTTTTAATTTCTTAGATTATCCTCATCCTTCTTTGTTCTATTCAACTCATTGTTTTGCTGAAAAACACTCCACATGCTAAGGATATGGTTGGGACCCAGGGGTATGTGTGGGGTCTGTGATAGGAGGGGCCGTGTGGTGTGGTGGGTAAGACCACAGACTTGAGCAAGATTGCCCAAGTATGACAGTACTTGAGTCCATCACTCACTAACTGTGGATCCCCTGATACCAACCCCTCTGCCCTTCAGGTTCCCCATCTCCGAAATGGGAACAATAATTTATAAGGAAAGTCCTTAGAACGGTGCCTGGCACACAGTAAGTGCTACACAAGTGTAGCTGGAGTTATTGTTGTGAAATCTTGTTCCTTTCATCCTTTTGATCCGGATGAAAACAAATGGAAGGAAGATGAGTACCCTCGGATGCCCTGCAAGCTGGATAGTTTACAAGTATGCAACCTGCATTTTCCGGACTATGTGCTAGATGAGGTCAGACGTTGCAACTAATGACATCATCTTTCTCCCTTAAAAAAAAAAAAAAGGCAAATAAAGTGTTTGTGGTAAAGTAGTTAATTAAAAAACATAAAGAAAAAAAAAAAAACCTGGCAGCTGGTTCTCTTAGGCTAGCACCGCAGAGGGAAGCGTGTAGCTGCCCTTACCTACTGTAAAGCACTTCTCTCAGTTTAAAGAGAACTCTCAAGTGCGTTCTGAACCCAGCTCTAGAAGCTCAATTAAGGAACAGTTGGCACCGGCTGGAATATCTTCTAAGTAGATAACCCTTGGCATTCATTCATGATGCTTAGACCACTTAGTGGGCAGTTAAGGTTCTTTAGTTTCGGTCTCTACTCTGAATGAAGTATAATGTGGCCTCCTGGAATTTCTCCAGGAGGTAATGGTATAGTTTAATTAGGAATGACATTAAAAAAAAAAATACCCAGAGAATAGGGCTGTTTCAACATCTCCAGAAAACAAAGAAGAAGGTTTGCTTTGTATCTCGTTCCCTCTATCATCAAGAGGACAGCTGGAGATGGAAGTGTGTGCATTAGACCCTTCCGGAGCGTCTACCCCAGTGACATTTCTGCCACTTCCTCCCCTTCCCGGGGCTGCAGTAACATCACCTCTGGGGGGAGAGAGAAAGCTCAAGTCCATTTCCTTCCTATAATTTCTCTCTTTCAAGCCCCATTTTGTGCCAGCCAAGTAGAGTCTATGGATAAAAAGCCTTCAGGGAGAGTCTTAGGCAACTTGCAGAAAAAGTTATTGTCCCAGAGCAGCAGAGTCAGGTCGAATCAGTTCCCAGGTTCCCAACTGTGTGCTGTTCATTTGCCTTGCCAAACCTTACCCAAGTTATTGCTAATGGTAACAGGAATGCCTCACTATGTCATTTGCCTTGATTTGATGGCTAACTTGATCTTCTCAAAAGCTTAACGTTGTCACGTCTGTTTTTGTGCTTACCAAATATCCAGAGGAACTTTCAGAAGGTAATTTTTTGTTTTTATTTCCTGGATATGCCACATAGAGCTATGTTTAAGATTTTTCAGTGCCTCAAAATGAATATTTGACAGGATAACTTTTAAGGTGGAGATATGATATTTTATGAGTGAAATCAATTATTAAATATTCAATTTCATTAAAAAAACAATTTAAAATGAACAAAGTAATTAAGCTTTATGACTCTATCCCTAAATAAACATTTCCTTTTTAACTTATTGACATATTTCAGTTAGAAAAGGTACTTACATACCAGAAGATGGAATTGATATTACTGTGTTTTCTTGGTATTTTAAAATGCATTTTTTAAAAAAGGTGAAGAAAAAAAGGTATTATGTCAGTTTATTCTATGAACAAATGCTATTTATGTATTGTTCCAATAATCAGAATAGCGTTGTATAAATAACAAAGAACTTAAATAAAAAGTAATTTGAAAATGATATTTTTTCTAACATTTTTCCTGGGGCTTATAACAATTTTTCTGAGGCCCCAATAGAAGCAGAAACAGCAGCTTGTCCTAGCTCTAGATGCCTCAGAGGTGCTGGGCAGTTTCCCTCACTTTGTCTCTCAGATTCGTGTCCAGTCAGAAACAACTGGTAGCCATAGAACAAATACCAACTTTAATAGAATGAACCATTTTAAAAGGGAGAAAATAATCCATATCTAGTTAAGAGATTAAGTATAGGACCTGCAGGAACATCATATCTGCCAGTTAAAGCCAAAGCCAATTTATCTACTTTTTAAAAATCAGTTTTCTTCGAGTATGTTTAAAAATGTATACCCAGTTTTTATGTTTTTACTATGACTCAATATCTTTCTTACAGCTTTAGACAAGCCTAAAATAGCTTTTTGTTCTCAACCATACTAGACAGACTACGTTCAGTGTAATGCTAAAATTCTGTAAAGTATCTCTCTATAGTTTGTTGTGTGTGGACAATAGGATGGAAAGTGCTTAGAACATTCTTCAATAAGCCACTCAAGGATAAATTCAACTGTGCTGTCATGTACTGAAGTAGTATCACTTGAAAATCTGAAGATGATTTCATGCATTTGTTCTAAGTGAACTTCTTGCCCTCACGTATTCTGTTCTCTATTCCAGACAAGGAGGAATTTGTTGGCTATGGTCAGAAGGTCTTTATCGGTAGGTGACGATTAATAAGAAGCAGGTCTTCGTCACTTGCTGAGTTATGTTCATACCAGCCTGATGCTCTTCTGAAAGCTTCTTTTGCTGATGAACATTTCTAAACTTGTTCCTTGTTATTGTTTCCCTCCTTCCATTTTTTCTTGTCAATATTCTGATCTATTGATTATTCATTGTTCATCTAATTTCCACTGGGTATCTATTAATTACTCATCAAACACAAATATTTTCGTTTTCTTCCAGACTGTTCCATAACCTATTTGTCTTACTCTAAAGAGACCAATTCTCTGACTACTAAGCTCACTTTTTATGGCCACATTTCTATAATCTGCCACCTGGCCGGAGCTTTCTCAAGGACTAGCACCACCCATTTAAAATCACTCTAGGCTTCCTGCTTCAGGGAGGCAGGGAGAACAGCAGAACTGCAGGGGCCGTGAACTAGAAGGTTGGATCCCAAGCCTGGATGCACTTTGGAATCATCGGGGCCACCATTCTGCATTGCTTCGAGAATCATTCAGTGCAAAAGCCACTGGGTAGAGCTAAGGAGAGTATGCAGCTGCACAATGGTGGGCAGTAAGGAGTGTGGAGTGGGACATCAGAGCCTGAGTAGCATGAGGGGGGCATCTATGCAGGGGGCTACGGTGCCCTGGTGCAGGTTGTCAGAGCCAGAGTAAAGTAAGGAGGGCAGCTGCCATTTCTTAGCCTCTGATAGCCCACAGCCTCTACAAAGATGCTGTCCTCATTTAGCCTGGGCTCTGACACTTTCTGCCATGCTGCCAGCACTGGCCCTCTTCCTACACAGGTGCCCTTGATTGATATAATAGCCAAATGTATTGAAGACAAGAGCCAGGGTTCTCACTGTTAGAGAAGGCAGTTACAAATACGGACAGGGGAAGGCTAGAAGGAATCATGTAATGTTGGATTGGCATTGTGGGTATTGGTGGGAACTCAGGGTTTTCAATATATATAGATGCAATATAGATGTAAGTATGTGTGTGTTAATATTTATATATACACAAATAGGCCTAGCTCTATGTACTGAGAGGCCCTGGATACACCTCTGAAAATAACAGAAAGCCCGGTGATTTGAAAGATTAAGCAGGAGTCTAGGGGTTCAGAAATCACGATTAAGATGTCCAACTTTGTCACTGATCACACAGTCCTGAGAAGCTGCCTAGCCTGTCTCTGTCTTAGTGTATACATCTGAACAATGTGAACAACGAGCCTGCTCCACTGTTTCCACCCTGGCCCAAGCCACCATCATCTCTCACCCAGACTACATCAGTAGCTTCCTAACTGCTCTTCCCTGAGGCCACACTTACTCCCCCTACAGTTTACACCCTCCTCGCAGCAATCAGAGGAATCCTTCAGAAACATGAATAAAATCATGTCGTCCCTTCACCCCCACCCCGGCCAGGTCTCTCATCCGTCCATCCAGAGGCTCCACAATCCACCACTCTGCTGAGGCCCTGTGTGATCTGGCTCCAGCTCCCTCTCCAACCCCATGTCCTACCACGCCCTCTCCTGCTCACTGCCATACAGCTCTCCAGGTGCCCTCGCTTTTCCTCAAACATTCCCAGCACAGTCCCTTTCTCTGCACCTTTGCATTGCCCTTCCCTCAGCCTGGCTTGCTCTTCCCAGCACAGGCCTCCTTAGCGGGCTCCATTGCTTCACTCACACGTCTGTTCAATGCCGACTTTGCAGAGATATGCTAATCACACTGCCTGCCTGCAAAAGCGCCCTCATCACTCTCTATCCACTCACTCTTCCTCTAAGCACTTATTTTTCATTGTTTTTGTTCTCTTCCTGCTCCACAAAATGTAAATGTCCAGAGGAAGTGGTCTTAGATAAGTGGACCACTCTATCTCCAGTACCAAGCACGATGCCTGGCACGCAATGGGTGCTGGATGCACCTTACAGATAACACAGGGCATTTTGTTACTTTCCCTTCATATGGCTTCCTATCTTCTAATTTCAGAGAGACACGATTATATTAACTAACACTTTAGGATCACAGTTGCTGCAGGTTTCATCAGATTTGAAGCAAGAAGTCCTCTGTCCTGCCCTGGATCTTATGTTCCGTGCATGTCCCCCTCTCCAGCTGGTTTCCGCCGCAGCATGCGCCTTTGTCGCAGGAAGTCTTACCTAAGCCGGCTGCGTGCCAGTGTGTGCTGCGCTGGCGGCTGCTACAGTGCAGTGGGTGCCCCATACGAGGAGGTGGTGAGGTACCAGCGACGCCCTTCAGACAAGCACCGCCTCATAGTGCTTGTGGGTATGTCTCAGCACGCAGTCTCCTCATCGTGGCAAGTTTCCCTTCTAGATTCAACTGTCTTGCGTTGGGAGTAGTGGTAAAAGCAGAACTCTTTATGGACCCCCATACAAATACCTTTTTTAAAAAAAAAAATCCTATTTTTTTATGTGTGTTTATAAATAAAACTTTATTGTATGAAGCTTTTTTTTGTCTACAAGTGAGCGTGGTATGCCATAGTGCGTATGAACTTATATAATAAGTTGTATTATGAGGATATAACTATGATTTTTTTTTTTTGCCTGATTAGAATTTGTTCTATAAACATAGGTGAGCGTTCCCCTAGACTGGTTATTAGTCTGTATCATGAAAATAAATCCTTAAATTCCATTTCCCTAAGAAATATATAACTATCTCTTTTTGAATAGTATCTAAAATCTTCCGGACTGTATCTTTGGTGCTAAAGATCAGGACAGATATAGCGCTGGGTCACCTGCTTTTGTGTCCAAGACTTCTACAAAACTGGTGGTCCCTGCAGCAGTGGCAACTTATATCTTACTGCCATCCTGTCTGTGTGTTCAGCTGTGAGCAGGAAAGGGCCCTGAAGAGTAGAACATGCCTCATAACCAGGAACAGCTACATCATGTGCAGGACCCAGTGCAAAATGAAAATACTATGGCCCCTTGTTCAAAAATTATTAAGGATTTCAAGATGCAATAGGAGACCATTAATCCAAGTGTGGTATCCTTCTAAGCACAGGCCCTTCGTAACTGCACAGGTTTTATGCCCAGGAAGTCAGCCATTCATGAGGAAATGGGGGTGCTGATTCAACCACCTATCAGAAATGTACCCCTGAATTCTATAAGCCACAGAACCTATGATTGTCAAGGCTGATTTCTGGTTGTGATACCATAGAAACTTCATTTGAAGAAGGAAGGCAGATCTCTCAGATCATCTAAAATGAGACCAGCTAATTTTCATGGCATCCAACATTAGACAAAGTTTGCTGGGCTGAGAGGTTCCCGCAATTCCCGACCTCATTTCGGAATGTTGAAGCAGTGTGGGTTACTCCATGGGTTACCAGGAAAATTCCCAAGAGTTTTCTGGAGTTGTTCCAATTTGTGAGGAAGGGAGTTACGTTATTTTCCTAAAACCATTTCATTTGCTCCCAAGTTTCTTCAATAGAAGGACTGAAATGATGATTTTACCACATAATTATATTTATCCACATCTAATGATTTCTATACGTGACTTTTTGTGTTTAGGACCGTCTGGTGTTGGAGTAAATGAACTGAGAAGACAACTTATTAAATTTAATCCCAGCCATTTTCAAAGTGCTGTGCCACGTACGTTGAGTTTTTCTTTCATAGCAGTTCATGTTTTGGTAAAACTTTCTTTGCCTCTTTACTCATCTCACTTAATATGTCATATCATCTTTGTTGTAAAAACAGAAGACACAAGGGATACTCATTAAGTATTTATAACTATGTTTATGTTAATAAAGAGAATTGATTTACTGGTGTGTAGCCAGCTACGCTTTTAAAAGGTAACTCTTGTCTTTTTCCTATTTCTTAACAAATCATATAGATAACCTTTCAGGACAACTAATATTTAGCAATGATAGCTAACATACATTCAGTACTTACTATCTTTCCAGCGCTGTGCTTGACTCTTTGAATGCCTTGTCTATTTTTTATCTAAAAATGTTGATATATGCAATAGCTTTATATAAATTCATAAGTACAATACATGGTAGTTTTTTAAAATGGCATTTTCTCATTTCCTTTACCTGTGGCACCTTTATTTCTCCTAAGCTTCTCCTTCTCCACTACCAACTCCTAAGCCAATTCCTAAGATGTGATCTTCCAGACTTTTCTCTATATTCACCTTATCCATTTAGAGTTGTTGTGTGGGTTATTTCTTTTTAAACTTTAAGACATTTGACAGCTACAATTCTAAAAATACAAGGTGTTATTATTTTTGTCATACTGAGACTCATCCTTTAAAAAAACTTGAAAAATCACTCTTAAAAAAACCATTTTATTGTAAAAAACAGAAAAATAAAGATGAGGTAGAATTCCTGATTTCAAGAAAATAGAAAGTTTATTATAAGGCATAGTTTCTAATACATATAAAAGGAGGTTAAAATTTTGACTGAGGCACAAAGATGTGTAATCCTTAAATGAGGAATGTGAAAACCAGTTACACATCAAGCATATGGAAGGGTTGGGAAGGGAGATTAATGGGGGATTTTCAGGGAGGCTTTTACTGGAGAGCCATGCTGTGAGTTCTACCTCCCACGGGGGTGGGAAGAGACTGTGTACGTGTGTGTGCGTGTACATCTGTGTGTGTGTGTGTGTTTGCTTCTCCCCTCAAGGCAAGAGAGAGGAACTTAGGGAGATCATTTAGAGAGCTTCCTATATGTTCCTGCAGTTCGGGGGACACAGAAGAATGGTGTCGGAATTACACCTGAAAAATTTAAAGGATGAGAGCTTAGAGGAAGTGGCCAATAGCTGTAATTTGGGAAGTTGCCGCCCTTGTAGAGTCTGTCATAGCTAAAGATTTGTGATGTTTCCCAAGGACCACATCTGGGCAGATAATGTAGGAGAAAGTCAGTCTGGGGTTATCTTAGTTCCTGCCCAAGAGGAAGCCTCAGGAGGAGGAGGCCGAAAGTGGACCCCAAGATACACTAGGCTTTGGAAGAAATTACAAATGACCAGCTGGAATAGGAATGGACTCGACAGGCCTGGTGGTGGTGGTGGTGGTGGTGGTGGTTGTAGGGTTTGTAAAATAACCCAATTCACCATCTAGGGGAGACAGAGCCAGATTTAAGCATCTGCCGCATCTAAAGGGAGCCAATAGCAGCCAGCATCGGTATCCATGAAGCAAGAACTTTGCTGCCTTCTTTCTTCTCTCTCCCTGCATTCTAGCCTTGCAGAGTTATAAAATGGGGGACGGGTGGGGGTGGGAGCAGTAGAAATACACTAAAAGGAAAGAGAAGTGAATCATACTCCCTTTCCTGAATTCTGGCTTCTCTGACTGCAGGCTTCCCTGGGTGCAGCAAATCTGAGCCAGGTGTGTGGAGGAGAAGCCTAAACTATAAGTGAAGTTCATAATTTTGATTATTACATGGGAATAGAATTTTAATTAGTAAATTGAGACTAAATGATGAAAATGAAATTGTGGCATGAATGATGATAGACTTTTAAAATTAAACCTATGAGTGATCGAAAGAGTTATCAGAACTGCTAGATTCTCAACTTGGGGCCAGGGCAGATCTTACCTCACAGAAGGGCAGTAGGAGACCTAAAAAGTTGCTTTATAATCATATCCCATAGGTTGTGCTTTCTGAAGTACTGCTTACATGGGCAAGAATGAGCATTAATCTCAAAAACAGAAACTATCAAAATGACCATTTTTCAATAATTTGGATAAAAGTAAAATGCCCACAGAACATAGAAGAATTTTAGTCATTCAAAATGAGAAAATATTTTTCTTTTTAATCGAGTGGACAGTTTTAAGCTTAAAATGGATACCTCAGGTTATGTACCAATTTACAGACTTTAACTTACCACATACAGTATCAGTCCATCAGAAGCAAAGGAGAAGGGGCCCTCTTAGGTTTATATTAACATGATTCACTATCACCTGAGAGCTATAGGTTTTACTAGAATTTTTTTTTTTAGTAGGAAACTATAGGATAAGTGGCATAACTGTAGGAACTCTAAGGATCTGAAGAGGGGCTTGAATAAGGAAGAAACAAAAATGACCCCAAGGATGGCATTTACTTTTTGAGACCCTTGAAGGTCTGTAACTCCTTTGCTCATGTAGGTCCTGTTTCAAGCTCCTACTTGATCATTTCCATGTGTTGATATCAGGTGTTGATCTATTTCATCTTAAACTTTGTCAAATGCAAACACACACATTCTTTATGAATAAGGGGAATTTGTTGTAATGCAGATTAAGGGACTAGCTTTGCAACATATAGGACACAGAGTTGGAACTGTGTCTTATTCACCTTTATGTTTTAAGAACCTAAGAACATAGCAGGCACTCAGTACACATTAATTGAATAAATGGATGAGCAGACAATAAATCACTTTTAGATATGTGATAAACTCCTGCATTCTATACCAGGTGCTTTTTAAGTTGAAGAGTCTATAATGAAAGTGGCCATACCAAAGAATCAGACTGAATACAGACTCAGCCAATTGTTCCCTTCTAGAGAGATCCCTAAAACTAATTACCATTTGGATATTAAGGCATCTGGGCAAGACTTCAGAACGTCACTGGCTTTTGGTTTTCTCCATTCCAAATCTGAGAATCTGATGTAATAGAAAACATTAGTGTAGGCACAGTCAGAACACCTAGGTTCTAATTTCAACTTTACTTTTTATTAGTCTTATGAATGTGAGCACGTTTCTCCAAAAGCGTCTAAGCTTCTAAGTTACTGAACAGTAAAATATAGATAATAACATTTTACCTGGCTAGGAGTGTGGGGAATGAAATGAGATCATGGGAAATGCACTATGCACATGTAAGATATTGCTGATTTTGCTACCCGGAAGCCTTTAGGCATCTTAGGGTTCACACATAATTCTCTACTGTTTTGAAGTAATAGCAGGTGTTCCCTTAGACCCTCCTCATCCTGGCTTAATACCTAGTACATTCTTTTCCACACCATAAGGACTCAATAAAAGTTTATAGATGAACTGGTTTTAATACGAGAA